ACACGCATAGTAACTGCTAAAGTAAAGCAGTTAAGAGGTTTTTATGTGCAAATTCGTTGCATCGCATGCAATGCCGTCTGCACTGCGAACCCTACGTTCTCTATCTGTATGCACCTATGTATAGATAGATTGGTAGCCAGGAAATGTCTAGACGTTAACTTTACCAATTTTAATCCACGGTATTTTGCAGGCCCAATATAGAGTTTGCAAATGCATACAGCAGCTTTTTGTTTGTGCAAAATTGAATGTGATTACCAATATTTTGGCTATTACTAAGATAATGTATAATTTAAAATAAGATCGCTTTTAATGCAGCACGAAATTCTTATTAGTGTTAATTACTAGAATAAGTAGCTGATTTCAGTAACTTATTTTTAGAGTTACAATGAACATACTACCTCCTAGCTTTTGCCCGCGACTTTGTTCGCGTGATATGTAACTTCCTGCAGATTTATGGTTCAAAAACTATCCAATGTCTTGCTCGAGTTCCAAACTATGTCTGTACCTAATTTCATACAAATAGTAGTGAGGCGTGAAGACAAAACAGACAGACAGACACAGTTACTTTCGCATTTATAATATTAGTTTGGATTTGCATGATATTCGTATCTTTTCAATAAAAATTTAACAGTAAAATTTTCTAACAATACCTATAACTTCATACGCACGCAATCACAAAACAAAATTGCTTTAATATGCAATATAAAGACACTTGCAACTTAAAACAATACAGAAACAATGCGCAAATTGCGTGGTATTAATTAGCAAACCAGACCACGGTAACTTGACTCCCCGGTGAGAAAGATGTGGTACTGTATCGTTTGAATAGCATCGCCTGTGGGCTGCGGTTGTACCGAGGCCATAATAAACCGACTGTGTTACTGAACATTTTAATTAAGACCCTTATTACCCTTATTAAACCTATGGACTACCAGTGTTGATATTACGGTACCGTTGGCGCGGTGGCTGGGCAACTGGCTGCTGTGCAACGTGTCGCGGGTTCGATTCCCGCACGGAACAACACTGTGTGATCCACAAATTGTTGTTTCGGGTCTGGGTTTGATGTGTGTATGACATTGAATGTTTGTAAATGCACCCACAATACAGTAGAAAATCCTAAAGTGGGGCAACGTTTTATTTAAGGAAAGGAAGAAAAATATTTAAAGCACATCGTTAAAACTTATACACAATAACGACTTCGGGTGGGCAGAGTGACGAGCCGCGACGCGCACGCTGCTCGATCATTAAAAAAAGTCCTATTGCAACTAGTTAGTAAGTAGTAGTCGTTATTTTTAATAAATTAAGCGTCGGCACGATACTACAAATATTGTTTAATTTGTTTAATTGGCTTTAAAAAGGGATGTCAACTATAAGGGATAACACATTTTACTGTCAACACGGTCAATGTTGACACACGGCGCCAGCAAAGAATCCGGTAGTTTCCAACTAATCAAATTCAGTACTCTAATTGAAATGTTAAAACGACACTTTAATAAAAAGTTGTATGAAATTGCAAAGCATGAATTCATATATTTACGCCAAATAGCATATTTATTACTAATAAATATGCTAGAAAATATTAAAATCAAACATAACGTCAAATCAATTAATGAGATGTATAATTATGTTTTAATAATTCATTGTATTGAAGTCTGAACACTTAATTATTGTTCTAACTAAAAAGTTGAAAATACATACGAAAAAACATACATATAAATACATATGTACAAAATTCTACTTGCTACTGATCCATTTACTCGAATTACAACGCATTACATCTTTTTGTTTGAAGAAAGAATTAATGGCACGTTGTGATTAAACCATAATATCAATATTGTCATTTTTGCTCGTATTCAGCCAGTTATGCGATATGTCTGTCAATCCAAACAATTAAGTTGGTTATGTTATTTAGACACACTATCGCATAACTTCGATTTAGTAAGGTAATTATTAACATGACGCTTAGAACATTAGCCACTAGTATTTTTTGATCTTTTAAAGTTTTAACACGTTGAACGCCATGGGGGTGCCATGTGGGCCATGCTAGCGGAGGATTTACCCACAACAGTTAATTGGCAGACAATGACTTAATTAAGCTGAAGTAGCCAATAGAACCATAAAAAGACAAAAGACAGACAGTTATAATTAATATTTAAGCAGAGATATGTACCTATATACTTACTTAGATATTGTTTCTTCTATTCAGAAAATAACTACTTACCAAAAAAATACCATATAAGTAAGTAGGTAGGTGTTTTTGAGCAATTTTATTATAAGCTAAGTTCATTACACTAAAATATCGTATCTACGTCACTATTTATGTTAAATAGTGTGAAGTTATAGGCGCGGCGTTTATATCAACTAAAGTAATGGTTGAGCCATTTATGTTGGTACTATTACTACGATGCTAATGACACAAGTTAGTAATGTAGATTGTTAGTACATATGTTTTATTAAAGCATTATTCACTTTATTTCTGTACCTAGTAAAATTAATAGAAGCTTCTAACTTAGCGTTTTACCCAATGCTTTTTATATTAAATATTTTTTTATTATTATTTCCTGTTAAATATGTAAGTAGAAGTACCTATTACACAAAATATTGTCTATGTTAAATTAAAAACAAAAGAACCTAACTAAGTAATCCTTAATACCGCAACATAAACTACGCAAAAAAATCTTAATAAAAAAAAAACGTTTCGCGATATTTTACTCCCTTGCTCAACAGGAAACAGGGAACGAGCTGTTTCCTCGCTAACAGTTTAGTAAGCAGGGTTATAATTAAAAGTAATAATTAGTCAAACACGCTTTGCCTCTTAGGGCCATTCCCCCGAGTGCCGGAGTCATTACTTGGTTCTAACGCGAGTAACGCATGATCACACATTTACCTACCTATTACATACATATATTTTCTCTATTTCATAAACACACGATATTTGCATGTTATATTATGTTGTTGTTACCTAAAATACTCATTAATATAACACTAGCTTCTGCTAGCGGCTTCGCCCATGTTACCTGGACCTGCGTTTTTTCCAGACTATAATAATGGCAATTTTCATTAAAATCCATTCAGCAGTTTTTACGTGGAAAATAATAATCTGTTATTCTTTCCATTCGTTTATGATAGTTTATTAATAGGTTTAATTTCACAAAACGTAAATTCACACGTACATCATATTAAGCACGAGTATGCCAAAATGCATTTTTGCGTTTTTAAACTTTTGGATAATTGAGTGAAAGAGTGAATGTAAATTAATTGTTCTTTCTCTTTGTTAATAATTTTATTAGATTAGCTTCGTAGTATCTCCTAGACTTTGGCTAATTACTGTGAGAATATGTTTGTGTTCTTTTATTTGGTTTTTTATTATTACGCATTCATTTGTTGCCTGGTAGTCTGAAGAGTAAGCTTTATATAGATATTTTCTATCGGAAAGCGATACCAAATTCATAGATGTACATACTATGATACATATACATACATTGCGTCAGAAAAATGACACCTGCTATAGAAAGACCCGTGCCCCTTAGGAGCTATAAGAAAATTATATTAATAAAATAAAATAAACTACCGAATAGGCATCATCTACGAAACGAATTAAATAGGTTAGTAGGTACTTATAATACTTAGTATTAAAACAGTTCTTTACAGCAATTTTGTTCCGAACAATATCAGGATGGTAATTGTACCCATGGTAAGTTACCGTATTTTTAGACAATTGCGTTCCGCTTGGCTACCATTGTCGCCAGCCTAAACCGTGACCGACACAGCTTTGCCTGCTTCCATTACCGCCCCCAGTATTACTACCTGTATACACACTGACGTAGATGTCTACACAATACACACTAACGGGACAGGTTCTATAAAGGAGATGCTTACCTAGTCTATTAATCATATAGTTCATTAAATATGTTTGTTTAGACACAGCAGATGATATATGGATATCGGATGTGTTATCTTCTCAGATAACACATCCGATATCCATAAATATTAGGCACAAATTGTAAGCAAACCTTATGGATAAACATAGGTAATGTTTTATGATAATAATCATTTATTCAGTAGGGAAGATACGATAGCTCTATCGAATGATAAAATGAAAATGTTAACCCAGTGTTGTCACTTGTCAGCTAAAATAATTACGTCATACTCCTGCTCGAATCTATGATGACGTCAGTTTCACTCACTTTGTTCTTTTATTCATACAAAGCTCGTGTTACACGAACTTAACTGAATGTAATATACATTGCTAACTTTGTTGAGTTACCCACCGTGTATAACAACAGGCAGAATATAGAAATAAATCAGCTGAGCCAGGGGGTGGTTATTGAACGGACTCACGCATGCGCGCTACACCGCTACTCACTAGCAGATGGAATCCAGACCGGCGGCCCTGTACAAAACAAACAAACTCGTCGAGACATTGACACTGACCTATAAGATCCCTAATCTTTATCACACCCCTCGTAATAATTCTCCGTCCAAACGTGTGAAACGTAGTGTGTGAAACAGTTGTGCTATTTTACGTGCCAGTGCTACATTAATTGTGACCTGGTCGTTACGGACACTATTTTTATAATGACACAAAACAAACATAATCACGTGCAAAAGAAAGTGCTTGTGGTGGCAGTGCGCGGTCAGTGAGCGTGACGCTCGGTGTGACGACTCAGACATTAGAATCGCTCGTTCAGCCTTCTCCCTTTCCGACACACCTCGCTGCGTCATTTGACATGCCCCTGTTGCCAAACTAAGAGTCAGTGGCCGCATGTGCATTATCATCTCGCGTCATGTTGTGCCAGATATTATGATAAAGAAATAAAACGCACTGTGCCGTCATCACGGTGCGTAGACTTTTAGGTTTAAAAAAGTACGCAGGTGCAAATAGAGTGTAACAAAAAGAAAACTGCGTGATGATTATTATCCGTTCGGCATGAATGGATAGGGTCGACGCCACGAGATCTGATTTTTCCGGGCGAGCTGGTGCGGCTGGTGCGGCGGTGGCGGCGCCGATAGCGCGGGCCGCGGCCGTACTTCAGTTGTCCGCGTGCGTGCGCGCTGTGAAAGTCTCCCGCGCGACATGCGGTCAGTTTCGGCCACGTCTACGACCACCGGCGCGGCTGGGCACGCCCAGCATCACGGCATGGGTGCACGAAGACAGAAGACGGACCTCCATGTCGCCGTCTCCGAGCCCGCCGCCGCGCGCTCAGCCAGCCCCGCGCCCAGCCTGCGCAGCCAGAGGGCTAAACAATACAGGTGGCCAATAAAATACACTAACAATGTGACTATCGCGTGTGTTCACTGTGCGATTTCTGCAATTTAAGATAGAAAGTGACATAAAATATGAATGAGGCGCGTCTTCGAATTTAATAATTCTTGAAAATAATTCTTAAGAATCAAATCGATATCGTATCGGCTTGGTGAATCAGTAGTGTTATCTTTCGATATCAAGTGGTTTATGTATGACTGTGTCGTGTTCTCAAAACTGTTTGTTTATGAAAATGTTACCTATGTGGGACACAAACTTGCGCTGTTCGTTAATATCTCTATGCAATACTTTGCTTAATTTTGCGAGTTCTTAATTAAATCACCGTATATAAACAACCTCGTCGATCTGTGAGCAATGTTTAGTACTATTTCGTGTGCATTAAAGGCCAAGTAACTACTGAAGCAACATAGCAAGGCCAATGGAGAGGCAGTGATTTAGGCGGGTTGAATCCACTGTACGTATGTGCTGAACTATAAATGAATCAAAAACAAACCAAGTAGTATTATCCTTGTTAGTTTGAAGATTCACATTTAGTTACAGTAATGATGACGGTCATATTAATTACATACAGTTGTTTTGTAATGGGTATGTGTAGATATTTCAGTTGCATTTTAGTTTGATACCTATTACCTTTCCTATACGCTCTATTGGTTCATGATTTCGTAACCGGATGTTATTGGTTTTCTTTCCCAATAATGGTAACGTCATTATTTTGTTGTTTATAATGACGTATCGCACAATAGCAAGCTTATGTTTATTTTAAAGCAATTCCTGCTCCTAGGTCCTTTTGTTGCATTGTTCGGTTGAAATAGAAGCGGTATCTAACCTTATTTTTATCCGTTTATAAATAAACACATATCTAATCGTTCTATCAGATATGTTATAGGTACGTCCCATTCGAAGGCCCTAAAAATCAAATATTTTAGCAGCAAAATATAAATATGCTTCAAATATATTTTAACTAATATTCCAAACTCCATGCTAAATGTTAAAACGGTCATAATAATCCAATGCTCTAGCAGTAATGGATGAACAACAAAACAAATAACTAAAGTCAGCCTTGATGAACAAAACAGTGCGCTTTGACTCAACTCATTAAGACGTCTGGAAATTACAAATCTCCTCGTACATCATTCACCTACATTCTCGACATCGTTCTAATTGATATTGCTTTCCACAAGATGAAAACACGCACTATTATACGTTCATGGGATTCTCAACGTTTTGATCTAAGTAATGACTATGGTGGTGGTGATAAGCAAGGCTTGTTACACACTATTCCAAGACTTTATAATTCTGCATTGCCCTTAAAAATATTTAGAGTTTGTAGGTAATTGATTTATTAACTGAACCCTTGTTAAAATTGAGGCGTATAATTTTTCCCCTACCTTTTTCTTGGTGCTTTAGTAACTTATATTAGATTATTCTACATACAAACAAAATAAAACGACACTGGTAATAGGCATCAATTACCTAAATTGTTTTAATATTCCTTGTTGTATCTGTACTACGTAGAACAGGTAACATCTGTATCGTCGCTGTCGCCCTAGTTTAGCTAATTAATTTGTGTAGGCGGGTCGCGCTCACACCCAACATCATGACCCTCAAATGGAATCAGCAAGCCATTACTATGCCTATTAATTTTAGGAAATATCGACCATTTTCAGGAAATGTCTATTTATAGAGCTAGCAATCTACTAAATAACTCAGGTATCAATTGATTCGTCTCTCTACTTTGATAGTGAGATATGGAATTTGTTGTTTCGACCCTAATGATAACAGCGATGAAATGGTATGATAAAGCATCGATAAACAAGGTCTACGTTCTTATTCCAGATCAGAATAGATGTTTCGTATCAAGATTAATGGCGAGTGATGGATTCCGTCCTCGCTTTGGATATATCAATTTCATTGGAATGTATAGATATGTAGAATGTACTTTTGGAAGCTATTTTTCAGTACTTACACGTGACAGGTTTTCCTTTGGGATGTCGAAATATAACCTTTGTTGGTATTTCTTTGGAATACCTTGAAAAATTGGGACCACTTGTTTAAATGAGTCATAATATTTTTACAGGGCCAGTTTGCCAGTTCGCACAGCGCGGCTTTTGCAGCGCTCCCGGACGCAGACGCCGTCGGACGCTGGCATCAGTGATGGCAGCGCATCGCCTGCGCCGGCGCCCGCCTCGCTGCTGCAAGACGTGGTCGACATTAAGACACTGCTGCTGCAGCTCAAGAGGGTCTTACAGGAGGTCAGTCACCATCTAAAGATATGTTTGTTATGTGTAGATAACATCTAATGTCTAATTATTTCAATCCTTAGGAGTATCGTTTTTGCCCGCACCAGTGCTAAAACGATAGCTTATTTACAACCTTTCATCAATCCTTTTCCTCTTAACCCTATATTACAAAGAGGCAGTTTACAAACAATCCCCAACAGTTAACAGAAAGCATCTCATAACACTATTCAGTTCAATAAGCAGACATTTCTACTCGGTCGATACCAAGAACAGTTACGTGCCACTAAAAAACAACGAGACGTTTGACGGACACCAAATAAATATGAAAAATGACGCAGCAAATTTCGTTCCACTTTACCTCAAAACTCACTTTCTCAATTATTTCGAGACTTATGTAAGGTGGTCTAGTGCTATTTCTATTGTAATTTAATGTTCTCATTTCTTTGTGTCTGCGTGTATGTGTACGTATCTCGTGTCTCAAACGAGACTGGGTCTATCAAATGATCTGTTTCACCGCACACGTATATTAATTACCTGCTGCTGTGGCTCGATGTACTATTTACATTAATTGTTCCCATTCAGAGATAGTGAATCATAATCATATCTACACCAATTAATATGGTTTTTACTTTCGTAGTCCGTTCTTCTTAGATTTGAGAATACATAAACTATTTTCCTCAACTTTGGTTGCCAGTTAGCTATTCAACAATATCTAAGTAGTTGAAATTATTATGATAGAAAAACGTTTAAACATTTAACGTTTATATTAAAATAAAACATTTAAAGTTAGCAGTATTAGTAGGTAATAATTGTTTAGATATTGTGATAGCAGTCCCATAGTCTCGTCTTCCAATAGATATTTAGGTACTGTCTTTTCATCTGACATCTTTGCTATAAAAAACTTATTTAGTGCCATACTTTTAAAAAACAAAGTTAAAGTTGTAATAATAAAACTATCCAGACTTTTTTACGTCTCAAGAACCGACCCCAAACGCCACACTTACACGCCATATTGGACCGCAGTCAATTACAGTAAATCACTCGCAATTTGTTTCAATATCATTATTATTACTACTTACTTCCTAGTAGAAATAGTTTTAAATTATACGTTCCTAGTGTTGTTATGCATAACTAAATAGCATGTTCGATTAGAATATTAAATGTGAGCACAATTACTGTTGTAATTCCATTAGCATTTTATCTTTCAAGTAGCGTGTTATAGAAACTAGTGCCATGTAGACTCCACCCCTTTCTATTTGCCCATAGTTCCCATCCCAGGCAGTTACATACAGTTGCTATACAGTTCACAGATTCATATCTACCTACATATTATGCTAGATAGAAATCTGACAATGACTGAGCGCTATTGAAACGCTTTGAACTAAAACCAGTATGTTTTTGCCTCTGAAACTGTCCTTTAAAATTCAATAAGTACTTACCTATGTTCTAGATCTAGCCTAGTTTTCCAATTTGTGTCTGTAGTGTTCAGTAATTCAATGTTTTTTTTTTGTTTTTTATTTATATATAAACACCAATGTCAATTGAAAAGTTTGACGATAGAAAATTACCTACATTGTAAGCTAAACTTTGTAATAAATCGTATATACGTTCACAGTTCAATGGACAGTGGTGTTTCACTAAACAGCATTAATTTGCTTGTACTTGGCACATTTAATTTGTTTTGGCGTGTTGTAATGTATTTGTTTATTTGGTTGCATTGCCTTGTTTGCCGCACGCAGCCTGGGGAGGAGCATCATTCGATGAGTGTAAGTAACCCTGCCTATGCCATAATGCACTTATGCACTGCACTCTGTACAACGCTGGATGAATGATACCATGTTTCATAACAAAATTTACCTTACAACAACGCTTTAAAGTGGATTATCCTTCAATTTTATTACATTCAAAACTATGATCAATTGTAATGATTTAACTTCCTTAAATACAAGGTCACAGTTTTAACAAATGCTATCTATTTATTCAAATTAATTACAATTTTTGGATGAGGTAAGTGGTAAATCTTTGTTGGCTAGATTTGGGCCGAATTTGCTCTTCTTGTTGATCTTATACTTACTTTCTATTTTGTATTTAACCTTACACAACACATTCATAATAGTCGTAGGATTATTCAATTGTTTTTCACTTACATCACGAATCAAATGATATAAGTTCACATTCATTGTTTTAGATTTTTATTTTATGTCTTGAAATTCGTTTGGTAATGCAAAACTAATTGATTATCGTTCTCATACTGACTAAAAGTTAGCTGAAGTCATCAATAATAAGTAGGGGCGATATCTATATAATAAATGGAAATTAAAATCAAGAGAGTAAGACTCGCCCACGAAGAGTCCTTCCCTAAATCACGCTTATTCTTTGGGAGCCCTCCTCATTTGTTTATAAGTATCAGTTGTTATAGGAAACAGATATGACGATTTATTCCTGATGCCACGTTCGTAGAAATTATCTAGCAATAAGTATCTAGCACAGGTCATAAGATACAGCCTAGTGAAAGACAGACACACGAAGTTTTTATTGAACAACAAAAGGCCCCTTTTACTAAAAATAGGGTTGATTTGTTGTAAAATATAAACTTTTCTTAAAATACTTAAACGTTAAGGCCTACTTAGTCAGTTTCGTCTAGCAACTTAGGTTATTATTTATGTATAATTTTTAACTTAGCATCTTTTATAAGCCCCGGTCTGCTAACTAATTTTAAGTTTAGATATTGGCTCACATTAAATTACTATTTCACGTTTTTAATTCACGTAGGATTTCTGTCTACTTAGAATATGTTTCGCACCTGGCAAAATCATTTGAAATATTTGCCATTTCACAATTTCGGTAATAATTTATTCGTTGAAAATAGAAAAATATATCTACATACTGAAAAACATACATACACTAACACTTGAAAAAGTGAAGGTTTTAATGCAGGTACAGCAAGGCAAAATAGCCAATTACGCACATTAACACTTCTTATTGTTTGAAAGGGTCGATAAAGGTGTAGGTAATGTTAGTAATTTGGTAATCACTATTAATGGGTCAAAATTGTCTTCGAATTGCATTTTTAATCCTCGAAGATGCAGAGGTGCACGGGCTACCTACATGTGATAGCAACTTTTCGCCACTATTGATGTTCATGTAAGATGCTTCGAGCTAAGTCAATTTCCAAACAACCTAGTTCATCGTCCACAGCGTCAAAATGTGAGCTGCTGAACTAAGCACTCCCTCTTTTGAGGGACTTATATTCTGGTGCTTGACATTCAGGTGGCTTGGGGGACGACGTTAGGTCACCGTTAACGGTCTACTAGTCAAGGCTAATCCTTACTGAATAGTAGAGTAACGAAAAAGTAAATCCGATTAAGTGTAGCACAATTTTTTTCCTAAGTCCACACACTCTTACAATTTGCTTAAATTTATTACTGCATCACATCGCTTTAAAGTTACAATTTCTATTTGCCAATATTTAACGAAACCGCGAAAGAATCCCTGCAGCGAAAGAAAGGTCTACGGATCGGCTACAAAACTTAAATTTCAAGGCTCTTTGAAAATTAGCATAGATATTCTAAAAGCCTTCTTTGACTGGACACGTGGATACATAAGTAGTCCAATAGAAGTCCAGTAGAAGTCTGCTTAGCTAGTGACCTTCAAATGAAATATTAGAACGCTGAAGAAGTTTCACTACTTTTATGTCTGAATCTAATAGAGGCGATGTAGTAGTTTGCACAAGGTCGTTTCGGCAAAGAATTGGACTTTCCGAATCCAACTTGTAGCACGAAAAAGTAAGTACCTACCCTATGCATGGCAGGTTCATTATCTTTAACCAGTGAAACAATGAATTTATTTTTGCAAATATGCCATAAAACGGCACTTTTACACGTCAAATTATATGTGAAAAACTAGATGAAGCCGGCATTTCCTATCTGACTACTCTGAGAAGAAATGCCAAAACAAACTCAGAGGTCAGTCTCTTTTCAAGTCCAGACAATGTAAAATAACATAATTTGAGAGAACCGTGCAAGTTCATTCTGTAGTGGTCTTTTGAGGAAAGAACCACACCAATTTAAGTGGACCCGTTCTGAAGACAGGCACGCAAGTGTCAGTTTGCAACCAGTATAGCTAGTGCTGCTGAGTTGTCCGACGAACAATACCGATCAAAAGAACATTTGGGTGTGTCGCGCAAGTATTCAAACTGTCAGAACGCAGATAACTGGTAATCAAAAAGCACTCTAAAACGTAACAAGTTGACAGTGGGTTATACATGTAGGTAGGTAGGAAGGAAACAAACATCTTGCTTTTCGAGGCATACAAAGCGTAATGTTATCTAAATATATTTATTTACACCTTATTGGAATTTTTGGTGGAAGATTATTCTGCATACTGTGTTAACAATTTGAAATTTCAACGTTATTTAATTTACACACACAGAGCGAAACTCTCGACCCGTTGCTGGCGGCGTGCGCGGAGAGCCCCGCGCGCGGCAACGGGCGCCGCCCCCCCGCCTCGCCGCTGCACCCCGATGCCTGCGCAGAGATGCGCCGACAAATACTCTATCTACAGGTGAGGATCTATTGGAAAACTTACCATCAATACCATAACTCCTCCACAAACATCCATGTCACTTTCTTTTGTTACTCAATTCGCTTCATTCTTTTCCTGTCCTCATCCTAAAATGAATTGTCTTGTTTTTCCATTCTCTTCTGAGAAGCATCGTACTCATCTCAAATCCTTTTCGACATTTCTTCTTGAAGGAGAGATTCGTAAATCCCAACTACATCTAAATTCAGTACCCGATTTGACACTTAATTTTTAACATTTCTGCCTCATCACATAGAGAAATCACTTTTCATAATACATAAGTTGTAAGTAGTAGTAAGTGTAGCATTTGTGTCTTGTGTCTAATGAATGAATGTCATAAAAATTGCAGAGTCAGTTAGAGGAGCGTGACCGGTTGGTGCGTGTTCTGCAACAACAAATGCTGCGTATGGCCGAGAGCCACGAGCCGAGGCAGGACGACACATGCAACGTGGCCACACAGACCGACCGGGTAAGGCAAACACACAGCACAGAACAACTAACCTTTATATACACATTAAAGTATTCCAACCAACAATTCCGTGTTTCTATTTCAGTTGCGGCCGCCGATGAGCTCGGCGTTAACGAGTTCTGACAATTCCGGATTAGTGAGGTAAAAAAATAAACAATAAATGTTATAATACAATACACCGTATTACACACACACTGTGTGCAACACCTATTGCTTCAACATTATTTCATACTGCTACCTCACTTTCTATTTACTAAGTCATACCAACTTTCCTTCATATTTATTCCACTCTATCAAACATGTTTATTTATTGTTTTAGGTATCTCTTCGCAACAGTAAAGTCCATTTTACACACACTGCACTCTTGCATCATCCTAATGTACATACCACCCAGCATTCCCTCCTACATGTCACAATATAGAGACCATTGCTCATCACTTGTACAACACACCCTGTCCAAAAGTCAAACATTAGTAGCCAACTTAAACAACTCAAAATGGGTAATCATATTCAAAGACTACATGAATAAAAAAATGACATTTGCTCCAACATCAATGTGTAGAATCACTTTAACATTGTCCCCTTATTTCACTGGTATTTTCATCTGATTTAATTATCCTTATTCATTTATATTTATCTATGTAAACAACAAGCGTCGATTCATCTGTATATCTATAATTTGTCATCATCATTATCAGATCCTTCAAAATTGTTCATTTTGTTCTAATTTCCTCACATGCTGCTTTAAATTCCGAATTGGATTTCGTTGAAAATTCTCGTGATGTTGGATATTGGACGCGGCAGTTTCCACTTGGGTGGAGGGAGGGTTCGTCCGTCGGATCAGGTAGCGTGGCTCGACTGCTTGCTCGCTGTTTGCCTCTTGTGTTCCGTCAATGTGTTGTGCTTACTGCATCTCTTGTACCGGACCAACGACGATGCCGTGTTTCTGGTCTCTGATAGGGACATCGACGAGTATTGCTACAAATACATCAAGTGATCCGTCACTTCGCTAGTATGCATGAAGATACAAATGGTGCGGTACTAGGAAAATACGTCCGTATTGTAAATAGTACGTTTTGTGACTAGGTGTGACACTAAAAGGCTTACAAACACAATAATGCAAGGTTTGGTGATCGGTTGGCTGTGATAGTGAATCTGGTGGTGCTAGAACTGACATAGAAAGTTTTAGCATGGAGTGTCTATGAATTTGGTTTGAAGTGCACGGCACTGTTAGCACGTATCGATTAGGCAATCTAGTAGCTTACTTTCAAACGGATAGTGACGACTGTTGTGTTGTTTGACTGTAGGTAGTCGTGTGGTTTCTTACATTTTTGTACTGTAACCTTTTTTTTAACATTTGAATTTACTTTGATTATGAATTATATCTCTGTGTTGCACGCTGCCCCGACAGAACATAAAGGTGAGGTTCACTTAAATTAAAAAGAATAATCTATCTACAATAGTTTTGATTGGAATCACGTAACTAAACACTAATAGACAAGAAACTGCTGCTGTTATTTAGTAAAAAGGCATTGTTAATATTGTCGTAACTTTCGCAGTTGGAATGAACAAGCTAGCGTGAGGAAGCTGCCGTCTTACAGTGAAGCACAAAAGACTAAGAGACCTGTTACCAACGGGACTGTGAACAAATGCCAGTGCGGTGTTAGGAAAGTGAACGGACTCAGTAACGGAGACGAGAACGTCGGCGACGCGGTGCAGCTGCGCACCAGTAGCCGCGTGGGCAGCAAGTACCTGCAGGCCGTGGCGTCGTGCGACGCGGGGTCCGGGCGGCGCTACGCCAAGCGCGACTCGTCGCTGGGCGAGCGCCACGAGCGCCGCGCGCCGCCCGCCGCCTGCCGCTCGCGGTCCATCGAGAACTTCCAGCAGCAGCCGCTGAGCGCGGCGCCGGGTGCCCCCGCGTCGCGCCTGCACACGTCGTACGGCGAGCTCCGCGCGCGCGCGCCCAGCAAGGACAGCGTGCACCGCCACAGCCCGGGGCTCACGGGGCAGTCCACCGACACCGACTGCAGCTCCGACGGCGGGTACAAGTCGCTGCCCTCCTCCATCAACTGCAGCGCCTCGCCCAAGAAGGTCAGCGGCATCCCGCGGAGGTCTATCGAACAAAAATTCCTTTCCACTAAACACGTCAAAGCGAGTGCTATATGATGTGATGTTTCCGTTTATTCCCGTATTGTTGTGATATTATTTTGAATCGGTTTGCTGGACAGTGTCTGGACACTTGAAGAGTTTGTGTATCAATATTCAGCTTGTATGTCATGTACCGGTTCCGTCAGTCCATCTGCTTCGAGTGTCTGGCCACTGTCCGCAGGTGCGACGTGTGTGACTGCGATTGTGACGTCACTCGGGCGCTAGAGCAACGCTTGTTCGCATTTATTTCCTCTCATCGTAAAGCTAATTAATTAAGCTACGTTTAGTTGAACGATGCCAAATTATATCGATGTTATAGTTTGATCTAATATCCTAAAATCCTATTGTAAGATTTTAGTTTGACGAGAAATTAAATATTTCATAATCCGATGCTTAGTGCATTTTATTTTATTGTAATCAAAACGAATATTGACCTCCTGTATAAAACAGTTAGTGGACTACCTTAAACGGAAACTAATTTTGTAGATTTAATTTACAAATTTGTATACAGGCGATAAAGTTATCTTAGATTTTCTATGGTAGACAAACTAGTAAATAAAGCTGTCATATGTGATAAGAGTGGCTGTAAGACCATATATTTAATTTATACCTACGACATGATATCTTCCCTATTGTTAATCACTACGTATGGTTACTTGTGTATCGGACGTGACATAATCAAATTTTACTTATTCATGTTTTACGAACATTTATTTGCTGTGTAAAGTTATTTAGACAAAGTAGGTATCAAATAGGTACAAACATCACTAGCTTGTGAGGCATTTTTTAATATCCCAGATGTCATTTTAAAGCATTTGTCGAATCAATGTTAATGTAATTTAATGTTTAAAGTTAGTAAATCGTAATCTTGTGCAGAGCCTAAAGTTAATGCTATATTGATACCTAGAACGATTACCTACATATGTACTTCAGGAATATATTTCAATTTATTGTGTACTTATGGCTACTTGTATCTATCCAATATATTGCGCTTTCCTACGTTAGTTATGTAAGTCTAAGCCCACTAGCTTTAGTAAAGATTATTTAATTTAAAAATTGAAGTTGTTTCAATAAATAATTTTAATTTTTGTTCGTTTTTATTTTTTGTGTTTACCTTTTTCATAAACTAAGTTGTACGTAGTCGACACTAGACTAGTTTCAAGTCATGGGAGGAGCCCATAACAAGAGCAGCATTCACGACATTCGAGCGTCACCTCGGAAAACAGCAACGTGAATAAAACAATAACAAAATAAACGAATAATAATTATCAAATTATTAAGAATGAAAATGCAGGGTTCGATTCCCTACTAGACGGGACTAAAAATGTAAACAACTGGAAAGATGTAAGCAGCCTCGTAGACGTACCAACACAAATTGGGCATGGTAAAAGATTCAGCATCATGAAAACCATGCGAAGAAATATAAGAGATCAGAGGTAAAAATAAGATGTTATTGCTAATAAAAAGTATATACATATAGGCAGGCCAGACCTGAAAGTATTTATAACAACACTATTTGAAAGAATCCAAAATAAGTTATTGTTACGGGCTACAAAAATATCTTTAGTTACGGCGGCGTAGCAAAACCAAAGCTAATACCAAATATTATACGACAAATATTTTAAAAGGATTTTCCCTGGCGAGTTTAACAGCTCAAAAAGTAAAACCACATATATACCAATGAGAAGTAGTATAAAGACGACGTATTAAATGTCTCGCGAGGATGCGCGTTTCAGCATACCTCAGTTTGACCAGATGTTTCAGAGAAGCCAAACATCTAGCCTGTATTATTTGTTTTCTCCATGCATAAAGATATGATACCAGGTGGGTTTGGAGTAGTGGACTGTTGACATAAAATCAGAGTTACGTATTGATCTAGCATAGAAATATAAACTCTCCGCTGCTACTGTGTCATAGCTCACGACACAATCACCTCGTTTCTATAATTATTGATTTTACAATGACTAGTGGAGAACATTGTTAGTGTTTCCATTTGGACCTTGGACGAGGAGTCGATAAGCGAGGGAATCACGTCTTGTTGTATCTGTCGGCGGGTACGGCTGTGATGCGGGCGGCACGACTGGGCCCGACCTACGGCCGCGGCCCTCACTCGCCGACCGCACCGCGCCTGCGCCACATCGAGCGCGCCTCGCGCCATCTTTTAAAAACTTTACAACTGACAATCAAAATATCGGACGTTTGTGTTGCACTTTGATGACTTGACGGTGATAAAAATAAAAGGTTGGTCTATTTACTATCTTATACTAATTCCATTCATTCATTAACTTGTGATAAACGGGAGAGAATAGTTGTCTAGGGATAGGTAGCTCCTCATTTTTATTTCAATTAATTAAATATTTTGTGTTCATATTTCTATTTGGTTATCTGTCAAATATTGAACGTTTTTGTTGACAAGCAATGAATTCTCGAAAAACAAAGAGGTTCCTTACTTTTAGTCTAAAAACTTTATACATAAAAACTTGAATAGTTCACCTACATATTAATTTATTGCATCAATTTAATCACGTGTGAATTTATTAAAATCAAAATGAAACAGTGAATCGAACATGTATTTAGCCGTTGTACTTGTGTATTGGTGTCAAAATATTTTCTTATTTGCACGTAATGCGGACGTCAGTAAATAAAATATAACTAAACGTTACGTATTACAAAGGATGAGACAGAATAGTGATAAGTATAATTATCGGTTGCAACAGGTCATATAGATAGGAGAGGAGTCAAGATGCTTGGTCGTCCGCTTTCTAAATAAATATTTACCTATTTACTCGGTCGGTTAGAAGTCCTTGTAGGAATCCTAACCTTTGTTATAAAGGGCAAAACAAAACAGATTAAATAGCGAAGTTTACACAAATCTTAGCATAACAAATATTTTATAAATTCTGTCTAATAATAATAGTTGAACATTTCTTAAATAAATAATAGGTAAACATTAAATCGGGTCGTTTAACTTCGTAATTAAACAGTTTCGTAGTTATTGTTTGGAAACAACGAGAATAATTAACTGGCAAGAACTTATTTGACGTAAATAAATGAATTCATTAGAATATTGACGAATAGGTACCTACGTAAATTATTTTATTCCGTGGTCCGGGTAGAAAAAAGGAGTTTGCTGTTTGTTTTGATTGACATTTAACGTGCTCGATTTGATAGTTAATACAAGTTTGAATCATATCTACACTAATACTTACTAATATTATAAAGAGGTATTTGTAAGTTTGTATGTAGGGGGTAATCTTTGGAAACGCTGCCTGGTCGGATTTTCAAAATTCTTTCACTAATTGATAGCTACAACGTTCCCGTCTAAATCGAGATATAGAACATCACGCTACAATCAAAGGGAGCCGAGCAGCGACTGGTAACGGGAGTAGCTAGTTGTTTGTAAAATTCAGTTTTGTAAGATTCGGTTTAATATACTTATCAAATAGTAAAAAAGTACACAATTAAAATGACGAAACATATAAAAATCTTTACTAAAACAGTAACTCCTAAACACATGAATATTGTAAACAACTAATCTCAATAGAATACCACCTATTTCATTATCAGTGATTAAGATAACGCCAGTCGTCTTAATCTTGGCCGTTGACCTTTCTCAATTAATCATTCAAGATAAACAGACGAATATTAACTATTTATTTGTCGGAATGTACTTAATCAGAACACTTACTTAATATTATTTATTTTATAACTAAGTACTAAAATTACTTCGCAGGTTACCATTTAAAAGTTTGTTTTGAGCAAGCGAAATCTCTTTTTTTTGTGTATTTCGGTTTGGCCAAAGTATTTCGAATTCAGAAACAACACGTGGTCTGATGTTTCGTAATAGAGCCTTTTTTGTAGGACAGGGTGGCGAACGTAATAAATGATGGTAGGCAAGCGGTATTTACAGTTAGAGTTAAAAGTGCGTTGGAGGCCTTTTGAGAGTTTGGGGTTTGAGGACAATGAGATGGGGAGTGGGAGGCAGGATTTTATGTGCGGCAATCTCACTCATATGGCGATACGTACGCAATACAATCTCTGCTTCACGCCGGTTTTCTGTACAGCCAATCCTTCCCCTTCCCCAGTCCCTAAATCTCCAAATCCCTAATCGCTAAAAGGTCGGCAACGCACTCGTAACTCCTCCGTTGCGGCCGTCCATGGGCGGCGCTGATTGCTTACCATCAGGTAATCCGTCTGCTCGTTTGCCGACTTATTACATAAAAAAAATCAGCCGTGGTATCGCTTCGGTTGCGCCGCCGGTTGACTCGTGGTCATAACGTGGCTCTCCCACACTTTCCCTTATAGATAAGAGTTGCAGTTCAGCAAAATATAAACAAATGTAGATAGATACTTATTTAATTCCTCCTTACTACTTTAATAATATAAACTTGATGTTGTATTACGTAAGTAAATGTTAAGATTTCTATCTTATGCAACCGATTAACCGTAAAAGTAGATCTAAAGAGTTAGTTTTTTTATTTAAAAAAAGCAATTCTTATTATTTTGATTTATCTTTTGACTCTAAGCGTTAGGTACGCCTAATAAAATTAGACGCGTGGATAACTACTAGATTTTTTTAAATATGGGACTTGATGCAGATGTAGTATTGATCTCTGTGTTTTGTTTATTTTTTTAAGGTTTTATGAATGAACGTAACCTTTCACCAAAGGTGGGAGAAAGTGAATGCTTTGCCAGACATCAGTTGTCGACTGACCACAGTCAACAAATGCTACCTAAGAGTGTTTTTTTTTATAAATAGATAAATGGTTTCGTATTTTGTTTCGAATTTATCTATGGCCTTTAATATGTGAGTTTTTCGAAAAGTCCAATAAGGCTTGGTCTATTTGTGTAAAACGGATTTATATAGTATTTTTTTATTTGTGGTTTATTTTATTTTATATAAAGTAAAAGATGAGTGTCGTGATCACAGTGGATTAACTCAGACTATGTGGTCGTTTAACTTAGATAATAAATTTATTTTACTATAATTTTAAGTAAATAAGTTACTTAAAGGAAATGTGTGTGAAACTTGAAACGAATTTAAAAACAGGTTGGTATAATTTTACTAACTAAATTAAATAACATATTAATTTTCCTAATTAATTTGAGAAAACACAGTAGAATTTGGACCCTTTTTAGACCCCGTGAAAATATCGAGCTTTTATTCAAGCAGCAACCACTTACATGACTCAGACAGACAGACTGACAGACACCATATCCCTACTGAATCAGTCGCTTAATGGATCAATTATTATTACCTATTATATATATTTACTGGCGATGCAATTCTGATGCTAAATTTCGCCACTATTTATTTGGTGTTACACACATATAAACCATCCTCTTTGATCATATGTGGAGCAAACAACCACATTAAAATCCGTTGCGTAATTTTAAAGATTTAAGCATACCTACAGACAGAAGAACAGAAATAATCGACTTTGTTTTTGGTATACTTAGTACTATGTATTGATTACTAACATATTTTTTTAAGTTTTTAGGTTTAAATTAAATTGTTATACATTTACTACTAGTTCATAGAAGCGGTTACATTAACACAAAAAAACACTACAAGCGAATATTTCGCCGGTATGATACAGCGATGTCGGTATTTCATAACAAAATATTGAGGGCAAGCCAGCCCACTCGACCATCTAATTAAACCACTAACACAATGCGAAATATAAAACAATTTATATCACAACCATACCCGTTTTGTTTATAAACATAATACAAAGATCCGGGTAAGAGAAAAACCCGGTAGATTACATAATTGGTATCTTTTGTATAAAAAGTCTTATGAATTATATCTGAGCGTTTAATAGCCAAAACAGTGAAATTATCTTCATTAAATATCGTACGCAATAGCTACTCAATAGGTACATAACTTGCGGAAAGATTATAAATGTTTATAAACGAAATTATACCAAGATTTACTCACACATACCTAATTATGGTAATATATGATAGGTTAACTATTGAAAGTATTACATTTTGATTTTTTTATCTCGATGTAGGTACTGAGCAGTCAAATGGGTACCTACATTCGTTTGACATTCATCAGCAATTATTATTAATGAATTAACGGTCGAATAATTAA